CTTGCGTCAGGACTATTAAATTCTCGACCAGTACATAGCAATAATTTGGCGACGAGCAATATAACAATTTGACGATGGGGAAAACTATTATTAACCACTCAGCAGCAGCAACATAACACCATTATTGAACATCTGGTCAACACCTCCCACATCATCTCAACTGATTCTTTCAAAGTGATTTACAAAGTCAGCAGAATCCTACCAAAAGCATTATGTTTCCGACTTCGTTGTACTTCAGAAGCCCTCGCAATAAGCATCGATAAGCCGTCAGAAACTACTTTGATTTGAATTAGTATTCAACTGTACGGAGGTGCATTCACTACATTCGAAATACTACCGGACAAAAAGACATCGAATCGCAGTAACCTCCTGCACTATTCTTTTCATATACGTGCTTGACTTGGTCAATCTGAGTGAACGGAATCAATTTGAATGACATTTTCTTATTCTGGTTATCTCAATGAGACTATTTGACAAAATAATGCGTTTAGTCAAAAAACACACATGATGATTGAGTTGAAATTCCTCGTGAGGATAATTTTTGTTTGTGAGTCTCTGTATTGCCTTTCGCCACACTCTTTCTCAGTTTGTTTGAATCTACCTTTTTTTGTAACCACTCGGAGACCATTTGAGTACTGATTTGATTTGTCGTGCTGCGATAGGACTTCGAATGTGTGGAAGAATAGTATTCAATCTCAATCCAGTTATTTGCTGAAATTGTGAGTACGAATAGATGAGTGGTACCGCCTGTGATTGCAACAGTGAGTGACGCGTTTTCAAACTACAGAGAAGTTATGAACTGAGCGTCTTGAGCATATTAGATTAGACTTATGATGAGTGGAAAGAAGCACTGGGGAATGTAATACATGAAATGTGCACCCAACTATCTCCATAAGAAAAAACCGTACATTTCCAATGACATTATTATCATTACTTAAATTCAGTAAAACGTTTGAGCATCGTAAAATAGACCAAATAAATTTCAGTTATATTTCAAAGGTTTATACACAAAGATAAGTCTTGTTCTTGATCACATCTCGAGAAAAATAACTTCGCACGTTCAAACCATCAACATAACCAACTGATGACTTCTAAACCACAACTACGCAGGCAAAGAGAAATGTTGTATAAACGCAAAGATAAGTTAGGACTTAAAAAGATTACTGCTCAAATCAAATCTGAAATCAAAAATCTTAATGCTATCTATAACCAAACACTTACATCATGCAAATCTCCTATCAGCATGTGGAAATTTTTCAATGAAATTACTGGCAATAGTAAGCGATGTAATGTTTTTCCCTCTTGTGATCGAAATGCTCCTAATCAGTCTTTTATACGCTCTCCTTCTACTGTAACCACTTCTAACGTTACTAATCTTGTAGCTGATAACTTCCAGGACTTTAAAACTCTTGACGTTTTAAAATGTTTTAAAAGACTTAAGCCCTCATGTAGTCTTGGCCCTGATGGCATACTTACATATGTTTTAAAACAACGTGCAGATGATTTATGTTCACCTCTTACTAATATCCGAAATGCTTCTTTCTCCAAAAACGTTGTACCTGTTCCATGGAGAGACAATAAAATAGTCCCTGTCCCTAAACCTGACAATAGCAAGAACGTAAAAATCAGACCCATTGCCATCACTTCCCCGTTTCTAAAGCTCATGGAAAAACTAGTACTTCTTAAACTCGAACCCTCCCTTAAAAGCTTCGAAGACCCCAAACAATATGCCTACAGACAGGGTAGGAGTACTTTAGACGCTGCAGCCGTCTTACACAACAGTATTATCTCATCATTAGACAAAGGTGCCAAATATGTCCGCTGCACGTTTCTTGACTTTACTTCTGCTTTCGACTCTGTACCTAGAAGTCTCTTGCTAAATAAGCTCTCCATGACACAAACCGAGTCCTGGGTCACTAACTGGTTGCATTCCTACTTTTCAAACAGAATGCAGTACACCGTATACAAAGGCGAATCCTCCTCTGCTGTGCTCACTGAAGCTGGTGTCCCCCAAGGCGCTGTACTCGCGCACCTCTCTTTTCTTTCTTTCTACAATACCTACCATCTTCAAATGACATTAACTTTGTCAAATATGCTGATGACCTAACTGTATCTTTACCTGTCAAATGTCAAAGTGACTGCTCTAAACTAAATGGCTCCTTATCAGAAATCAGCCAATGGTCCAAGGAAAACGGTTCCACCTTAAACCCCTCCAAATGCCAAACAGGTAATTTCACCTTTAGGCACAAATCTGACCTAAACAAACTGGTTAGCACTCACGAGGTGTGCAACATAGATGGCATTGAAATTGAAACCAAGTCGGAAATTAAATACCTAGGCGTCACTTTATCTTCTGATCTTTCCTGGTCGTCTCATATCTTGACGATTTCTAAGAAAATATTCCGTCTTACCTTCTACATCAAGGAGTTAAGACATTCTGGTGTAACCCAACCCTTACTACTACAATTTGTTAACTCCCGTATTCTGCCTATTATTCTCTATTGCTCCCCCTTAGTCTTTTCTGGGCTATTGAAGAAAGACTATACCTTATTACGTAGGATGTTAAAGGTTGTCAGCAGAGTAAGCAGTTTGCCACTTAGCCAGCTTGTTAATATTCTGGTGGACAGGCACATGGACTCATGTGAAAAATGGGCGAAATCCATTTTATCTGACTCACAACACCCTCCACATTCACAACTCTCCCCATGTATATCATCAATCCAGACCAGACTAGAAGCCTATATAGGAAACTATATGCTCGCACTAGTCAGTACAAAAACTCATCCATACCCTACTTAGCCCGTGTTCTGTGCGATAAAGAAAGCATTAGGCGTGAAACCTTTAACTTATTAAATAGTCAGTAGAACAATGGATCTCGTCTTTCCAACTCACATCATTTTCTGGTACAACGTTTTTCTCTCTACCTTTTTTCTGTATTAATTTCTGTTATGTGCTGTTTTGTTTCTCTCCTCCTTACAAACTCTACTTAAAACATACTTGTTCGTTCTTTCACACTCTGTATATCTCGACCATTTTGCTATCGCTTACGCCAGTAAATATGCTAGTAGTATCTACTTTTCTAAAACCTTCAAACACTCTGTTTTCATTTTGGCTATGCTACCGATATGGTAACATGTTGTTGTCAAAACTGACTGAAATAACTTTAATCTATTTAGAACTTTATTTAGAACTTCCATAGAGCTCTTAGTATGATCGCCAATATGACTTTCATCTTCCTCATCACATAAAAAAGACTAATCTGGGGATGGAAGATGAAAATTTCAATGGCAAGACCGAACACACTTTAGAAGCAAAGGTTAAGTGATACGTAACTGACTGTCATAACCTGACAGTTTTCAATTCTATGTTATCATGTCTTACAAAATATTGTGCAACATTTTGATTTTCATTCTTTTTGCCCGATAATCCTGAATTCTCACACCTATTCCAGCTTCTGTGCATCATATGAATTGTTCCATATTTGACATGGATTGTTTCGCCAATCTACGCTGAAGGTTTCTTAGGATACGACAATCATTTGAATTTGAAATGCATTTCCTAAGAATATTTTTACCACCTAATGTATTCACACGAATGAGTAAACTCCCTAACCACATACAGTTTCTTCCAAACCACATCAAAAACGATTGTACAGATCGAAAATAAATTCTTTGTTGAGAAAAGTCTCTCTGCTGAATCACTTGATTTCAGTGTTATTTAAATTGAGTAAATACACTAGGGAGAGTATTCAGCTAGGTGGAAACTAGCTGTTATAATCGAAGTGTGATTTTTTTTGAGGAATTGATATTCATTTAGTCGATATTAGAGGGTATGTCGCACAGCATGATTAGTTACAAGCTTCTGATAGCAAACACTAGAAGCTGTACCATAAGTTGATCGCGCCGTTTTGATACTTCCTAGTGAGAAATAAGGAATTCACTATTTAAACGATCACACAGAACGACGAAACAGCTGTTCAGACCAAACTCATGTTGAGTCGTTGATTGTTTTGCACCCGGTTACTGATAACACTGAACTTGAAATGAACACGAAAATTTAACTGAATGTTTCGACGAGATGCATTTGGTTGATTGGATATCGTTTGTGTTTAACGTTTGGATATTGAATATAATTTCTGTATAAGTGTGATGTATGTGAGGATCGGTGGAGGGGTCTAAGTTAGTGGAATGTGGCACCAGTTCAAAATTCATTTCTGTTCGAATTACACCTGCACCAAGTAATTTTAACGTTCACATGAGAGATTATAACAATGACAACATCAGTAATCAATAAAGTGAAGAATAACCTGAAGAAAATAGTTTGCAGTTTCCTTCGCTTTACTGAAGCGTAATCCACTCAAGTGGAGAACTGGGCTATGCAAACAAAACCAATTTATCTCACCAATTCCACTATCTTGAGAATAATCTTAGTGCTTTCTACCAACTTCATTCTCGTTTCTTTGCTAGCTCTTCCAAATCTTTCGACTCTATCAACTCACTCTCACATCATTCCACAATTGCCTTTGCTTCTATGTTCATTGTGATCACCCCTCAGTCACTGAATTACTCATCTTATCAAGCAACTCAAATACACTTAGTCTGCTCTTATTACGCATTGACTCGTATCAACAACTATGACAATCGTAGCTGATCACTTATGTCACAAGCCTCTTTCATGAAATATAAAAATGTGTATAAATGCCAATGTACATCTGACAGGGAAAATCAATCCTACGAGAAGAGCCGCGACTGTTAACATGTTTCACTGCTTTTATGAGCGTGTGAACGAAGACTACGCAATTGCCTGTCACATATACAAACTGTGTATGCAACAACTCAATACAATAAACATGTCGGATTCTACCTGCTTGATACCGATTCCATGATGTGGATGTCTCTTATTCAGAAATGGAAACTCAACAAGAAAGGCACACTGTGAACTGTAATCGAATCATTAACCCACTATCTCAACACAAAAACATTCCATAAATAAGAAAAACGGTCTTGAATATGCATTTATTGAAGAAGATCTAATCTACAGAAAGAGGAAGAATAATAATCAATATTCAGAAGATGAAGCGTGTTCAATTTACAGAGCATTTGAAAAAATACAGTTGAAAGTCTTTGTCAGGTACACAATGACTGTGAAGTCCGACTTCGCTGCAACTCCAATTTCGTATTTCACACAACCATACTCTAACGGCTTGTGGATTGCTGACTTTTACAATTCCTAGAAGGAAGGACAATGAGAGGAAAGATGTAAATGAAGTAATGAATACTCGTCGGAATCGGTTTCTTAGATACAACGATCAAGTATGGATTGTATAATAGAAGACGGTCTATTTTTAGAATCGAAAGCAATTGTGTAATTTTTGGTGGTTATATTGTCTTTACAAGTGGTGCTTATCCTGCACAGAAGTTGTTAAATCTGTTACAGTGTCATCTTCAGTCGGAACGAATTTCAGCAAAGCAACAACCAAATTCATGTCGTCGGTCAAGTTTGTCTGGAGGAGTGAAAGTGATTCGAACACTCGTTATGGACACCGGTGAGTGATACCACTCATTAGGCCATCACTCCAGATAAGTCCCACTTGGAAATGATGAGTTGCTTGTCTGCGGTTGACATGGAGGATATTGTGTGTGCCAGTACGGGTGGAGTAAATGAGAGGGTGTGGGCAGTTGCGGAGCAAGCTGAATAGAAATTTGCCATTCAGCTGCTGATTTAGAAGTTCCGAAATCACATTTCTGATATTTGTCTCTTCACGCGAGAACCATGCCGAATGTCGTATGGTTGAGGTTTCACATTTTTCTGCACACACACTAGCATAATTTCTCTTAGAATTTATTCTGCCCTCATCGAACGGAAGATCGTGGAAAACGAAGTTAGCAATGGACCTAGTGAAGCTCTTTGAGGCACATCAGTTCCTGTGAGCATTGGTGTGCGGCTCCCTCATTTCAAAAGGGTGCGTTGATTTCTACTGAAAATATAACTAGCTTCACGTTATTGAGAGAATTAATAAACATATATCGCAATTTATTCTACCATGACTCCTCTTGTTTATAGTATTATTATTCTCACCCCTGTATATAAATTTGCTCACAGAAGCTGCATGATGTATGATATAAATGAAAACAAACTGTTCATAACATGTGCCACCACAAGTCTGATGCTGTAGGTACAAGACTAGAGCGACAAAAAAGGTCTCATGTTTCGAAGGAAGGAGAGGTTATTTCGAAAATGCATCTGGTATTCTTGGGAATACGGTGAACACATTTACATCACAATTTTCAGGTGATTTACATGTAATGATTTGTCTTAAAGCTTCAAAAATCACATAATTATTATAGTAAAGAGGACTCACTTTGAACCGTTACGCTTTGTCTTTCCTTTGCCTGCACCTTTGTTTTCAAATGAATTGTATTTAACCTTGTACGTACAGTCTGCATCTTGAACTGTGAGCTGGAGATCAGAGTCCAAAGTGAATATGACCCCTTTAAAGTTGACAATTCTTGCTCCTTAAAATAAACAAAAATAACATTTTATTGGTGAGCACTAAAGGTTGAAATCTTAACAAGTAGACGTAGTTCATGAATGAAGTCAAATAATAATATGATGATGATCCGTTAGTTTCAAAGTTCGCTTGTTAGAGATCATGAAAGAGAATTTTCAAGTCATTGATTGATTCATATCACGCAACAATGCTGAATTTTGTTCTCCACGTAATCGTTGCACATTTTATGTCAGTAGCAATCAGTAAATTCATCCAAACATCGTGCGAAGTATGTGAAGGATGACACGTAAAATTGTCTTCCTTATCATCGAGTTACCGGCCTGAGGAGAGAGTAAACCGGCATAGTTTACTTTGAATACAGAATAATCACACTGTATTGGAGTGAGCGATTTCTGGGTTCCTTCAACTGTTTTATCGTAGTTTGTAGCCGATAAGCAGTGCGTACCTACTGAAATTCGAACGAAGGTCAACGTAGTCTGGCAGTCATAGGCGATTGATTCAAGTCACAGTGTCTCAATGGCCTACATGACAGACAACCAAGTAACTTGAACATCTTGATTTTCAAACGATACTGCCGATGAGTCTGAAACTAGGCTGTCGAAACAGCTGATCGACATTGGTTATATGTGGTACCACTTAAGTCAATTCAAGTCCTTACATAATAACATATGCAACTCAGAGTGTTCAACAAATAGGGGAGCTGTATATTTATATGAGTATATTTGTTTCAGGACCTTGAGCGGATAAATTCATCCCTACTGAGGTTCGTGTTCATTTCCATTCGATATATTGATGGTGAGTGCATACATTTAATGTCCGCGTCGACAATTGAATGAAAACATATGCGGGTTTCCATATTATCCTGTGCCTTGTGCAGGATGAGCGGTTTGTAAAAATATTTTACATGAATTAGAAGCAACGCAGTGAATTTGCTTTCGAATTATTTGAAGAAAGCTCTATCAAGTCGATCTAAACTATACGGTGACTTTAATATAAGGATAAAGCTTGGGCACTCTGGTAGAGCATAATTTCATTATGGATAAGTTTTTATTTTGATAAATCACGCCGTGTTGTACAGTTATATTACCCGGAGTGTTCTTATTCGTCCAGCCTATTCTTGTATTCTCGCACACCACACTCACGACTCTCGCGTGAACCAGCCCAATACATTGAGGAATACCATGGATGAAAGCAGGCAGGCCGTGCTTTCTGGTGGCTAATTCCACTTCAAAAGTAACCTTCACTTAGCTTTCCATTGTGGATAAAGAGATGTGTGGCAATAATACGTTGCTGTTGACTGGGAAAACTACCACACCAGATGAACCTTTCATCTCATGAGCAATGGGAACAGAAACGTCCAGGTGACCGGAGGCAATATACAACAACACCACTATCCAATCTCAACCTCTGTGAGGATATGATTTCGAAGTTGTCACGAAATGTCACTAGAATACAAGATATCTTCAATCTGCAGTCATTGAGCCAGTCGTTCACTCAGTCACCAACGGAAAGATAAGGGATTACCATGTAATCATTTGTCGCTATCGTGATATCACATTCATTTGTCATTTACATACATAGAATAAATATTAATTACCGTCTCCACCAAGTGACATTGGGAGCATGTATTCATCTGATTTGATTCCCATTAAATTGACCATGCACAGACCAACGATCACGATGATGTTTAGTTTTGACCTCTGAGACACCATTTTACTGAAAATGTATAGGAAAGATAAATAAGAATTAAGCTTCACTTTGATGTAATTTGAAAGAAATGACAGAATAAGATAGTTTCTTTTGAAGTCATCCGAACTACACCTGAGCATTGTGATTGAGGTGTAAAATTTCAACATCAATATTAAGTCGGCCAGTTAGTCGGTCCTTCTATGAGAGCCTGAAACTGTGCCAGGGAACCACCAATAGCACTTCAAACAGTCAACCGCGAACCTTCATCAGCACTTAGAACCCCTGAAATAGTTACAACCATAATTTTATCAAGCTTAGTAGGTTGGATTTGATTCGATCTACGGCTCATTACGGTGTTATTCACGTGCTATGTGAATGCTCAAGGCTGTTCAGAATTCCATCTACAATGTTAAAAACTTGTCTGAATATAAAAGATACGGTCATTATTGAAATTCACAAGGACAGAATGGTTGTGACCGGAATGTCACTGCCCATATATGTATATATATATGGTCATAAATCTGACATTCTTGACTAAATCAAGGTAAAACCGGAATCGAATCTCAACAGCTTGTGCTTCACTACTCCATAAATCTTCAGCAGCAACTTGACTACTGAGCGACATGAAGAATTTATCACATGCAGTATTCAGGGAAGTTGAACATGTTCTTCAGACGAAACCACAAATTGTGCTACACACGTACTCACAAACCTCTGCCACATCGATGCCATCTCTTCTCAACTAGATAAAATCGAAGAGAGTGTCCCACACAGTGGACGAAATTCTTCATGGCTTATCTATAGATGAATGAACATCATTGGAGATGCATGCCATCTCTGTAACACTCATATAAACATTTTTGGTGATGAGAATGAAACGATTTTACTTATTTACATAGCATATAATATGAATATTTATACCACTGGAACTCACCAGCAATGTGTACTGAATAGTCACCAACTAATTTGATAGTGATAGAATATTTCGTTCGACTATTTATACCCATAACGCATGACACCATTCCCTCATTGGTTACTTCCGCCAACCAATCAGAATTCGACCGCTTGTGTGAAAACCAATAATTCAGTTATAATTCGATTTAAATGATTGGAGAAAAGCTATTACACAAAACAGTGACGATATTTAGAAAATCAAAAACAAAATTGCGGATCATTGATGTAATTACTGTTTTTATCTGTGCAGATGTATGGTATACGTTAGAAAATCTATTTTTCACAGGGATATCCATTATCTCACTTATTAATACAAGGGTAATTAGATTGATGGCAAATAGCTTAGGTATAGACGGTGTACTTGATGCCTGCTGCACGAATGTCAACGGCTGTCATGGCCCGAACGCCTTGACGACAGGCATTGAGTTTGAGTCTCAGTGAAGACACCATCAAATCATGAGTTCCGAATAGATTGAAATCCACATCGTGGATTCGATTTCAGTGCTCCTCAAGAGACATCGCAATCAGTTCACCTTCATCACCCGAACTCTTTTTGGCGTACTCAGTGACACGTGAACAGAGGCTAAACATTTCGTTCCGGTCAGTCAACTAGAAAAATAGATGCATTGAAAACTAACCGGTGGTACTGGATAGCTGTGTTGAGGTGACTTTCAACTTTTCGGCAGTTCGCTTGACCTGTGTGGCCCCACAGTTAGAATTTATGTGTCATTGAGTCGGACCTCAGTGGATGGATGGTTTAAGAGTAAGCAGCATGATAAATAACGAATCAACCCATGAAAACAAACTCGTGTTTAAGAAACCGAAATTGACCTGAAAACAAATGATCATTATGAGGTAATCCATTTTCTGTAATATGTACAGTGGCCAATTAGAATTGTGTGCAGAAAAATTCAGTCTTGAAAATTTTTCCTCAGGACACTGAATCTGGACGTCAACATTGATGTACTTTGTGGTCTTAAAATTGGCTTACATGCAGCACTCACCAAAGTAGTATTCAGCTCTACTGAGAGGTGCATTCACTACACCCGCAATAAAATAATACATGGAAGTCAACGAATTCCTGGAACTTTGGTTGTCATCATTCTTATAGACATGATCGATTCGACCATTTTTCATGTACATACTCACTCTCAATAACATTTTCTTATCCCAATTATATCAGTAGGACTGTTAAACATTTGTTTTCATTCTTTTTGCCTGCTAATCCAATAGCCTCACTCCCTTTCCAACTTCCATATAACCAATAAATTCATCTATTTGTGACATGGATTGCTTTGCTACTGCACACTGACCGATGATTATGACGTAACAAAAATCAAAGTTTGAAATGCATTCATACCATACTAACATAATTATTGCGTGTATGCACATGTATGCTTGAATTCCCTCACCGAAGTAAGCTCTTTTATACACATCATATTTGACGTTAAGACTCGATCATAAACTCTTGCTGAAAAGAGGTTCCCCACTGAGTCACCTGATTTCAGTTTCTGTCTTTAGGTTATTAAATACACCAAACTATAAATAGTATTCTAGTAGACACGAACTAACTGGTGTACTCGTAAATTTGATCCTAGATTAGGAGATGCACTTAATGAGGGTTCGGAAATTTTTGCAAGTAAATACTCACACCCGAAAAACAGGTAAGATACACCATCCCTAATTTACATGCTGTGCGTGTAGCAATGTATCTGAAAAGTAATTCTGAAAAAGGACGAATCATCTATCCAGATCAAACCAAAGACGGCATCAGTCATTCATGATTACAGTGTGTTGAAGATTCTCCAAGCTAGGTGACACTATGAAATGAAGTATACGAATCACTCGTCAGATGCTTAGCAACTTCACTGTTTAGTTCATCAAATTTTCAAGTCAATTCTACACAGTTTGACGAGGTGATCCTTATTTCACGATAGCTTTGAGAAATCAAATATATTCACAGTGTGATATGTGATCTGCCAGATACCCTACATGCTTATCAGTAAGCTACTAAATTGTGCATCACACGGTTTACCACTGACTGATTGACATAGTTGGTTGAATACCACACACACAGACAAACATCAACCAGTAGTACTCGATGGCTACCTGTTTATAGTGATATGATCTTAACACACAAATGCTGTTTCGCTCAATGGTGAGTGTGGCCATCAGCGGTGTACCTGCTTAACCTTCACTGAGAGAGACAAGTCCATTCGAGCAAATCAGTTTCTAACTTACTAGCTTTTTTAGGCTGAGTCAAACCCAGCAGAAAACTGGTGAGATATGCTACCAAAACGCCTCTCTTGTTTAGAAAACTTTGAAAGACTACTGGCCTGACAGATCTCAATAGAGAAGTAGTGGATCACATCATGAATTCATGGTTGACTGCGAAATCTTACCGAAGCGTGATGCATACGATTCAATGCACAAGATAAAAGAGGTTCAAGAAACAGTGAATCACCTCAATACCAATGAACTCATGGAAGCATACGACAGTGTACGGTATTTCATAATCAGGCAGTATTATTCAGCTTGCTGTAAGATGTTCGAAATTCGAAATAGACTTCCGTTCGAAGAAACGATAACGTGCCGAACTGACATATGCAATCACTGACCTGAATACATTTCAACAGTCAGCACCATCAAATCACACATCATCATACTCAGTCGACTGATTAACAATATTATTTTTCTTCTGAGGTTCTCAATAATGCACTGATAAATTTCTCCATACAAATCAAGCTCATTGTTAATTTTGACCTCTCATTGTTATCATGTGAGTCAATCAGTTGCATGTGAAGCGGTAATCAGCTAATGTCACAGTTGAGAGTGAGTGATGAAAAAATTCCTAGTTGATTCATCGGTCACTTTCATTGACGATGAGAATGATGATGACACGTACACAATGTGTCATTTCTCGACACGTTCAATTTGAAATGCAGCCTTCTTTGTCAGCTCAAGCTTACACAACATATTATCGTTACTCGTAGTTGATTATCTCACTGATGTCGACTTCTGATGTCAGTATATAACGATCGATACGGCCGTAATGATTTAAGGGAATTGAGGCCGGAAATGAGTTGTTATGAAATAATATTTAAAAGAGCAAAGAAAATTGCAAACACCACAAAATAGTCAGAAAGAGACTCGTGATGAAGTCACCAAACATTGAAGTACTAAAACATTTTACCATCTGTGAAATAAGGAGCTAGCTCCATGAATAAAGATGAAGTCAAACTCTGAGTTGCAAATACTCAATTCAATTTTGCATAGATGACTCATCACAACACCTGCTGACAAGTGATATATTTATACCATTATTCATTCATGATTGACATGGGTTAACGACTTACACTCAAGACTGCAGTCAAGATGTCTGGAGATAGACTATGAAAGATACTCGATTAAACCATCCGCTTGACGGAGTGCAGTCACATACACCTCAACTTCAAGTCTTCTCAGTTATCGTTGTGTCGTTAGCACAGAGGGCAGGCCATGCCTATGGAAGCATAGTCGTGACCATGATAACTCGACAACATTCCTTAGTTCTGATTACATGAACGCTGTCAATGCACCTGTTCTCTTACGCTTGTGTCTCTGGAAAGTTTTCAAGGTGTTAGATAGTTGAAAATTTATGTTTTTCAGCAACGTATGACACAGGCTTCATATACTTTGTATAAATGTGCTGCTTTTCCCTCATTTCCAACATAATAACCAGTTTATACAAGTTAGTGTTTGTTCCTTTCACAATTGTGCCTTTGATATACCATTCATTCAGATGTGTGATGGACAGCATTTGTGCCATGATTTGATAGGTCTATTTACATTTGATAATGTTCAGACTATTTCATATAGTCAGTAGAATCATGAACATATTCACGTACGTATTTTCCAGACTGTAATGGAATGACCTGAACAGACGAGTTGATTCAAAAATGAATCAGCTTATTCACAAGAGAGGAATTAGGTAGTTAGCTAAGCAGACTATGCGAGATTTGGACTTCTCAGACGATTTCTACATAATGTCACATCTTATCTTGAACTCGCCAACCTAGCAGAGCAATCA